TCAAAGTTGATGTCTACACATCTTAGTGAACATGTTTTGCATGTCAAAGTCAATGTCTACACATCCTAGTGAACATGTTTTGCAAGTCAATGTCTACACATCCAAGTTAACATGTTTTGCATGTCAAAGTCAATGTCTACACATCCTAGTGAACATGTTTTGCATGTCAAAGTCAATGTCTACACATCCTTGTGAATAGGTTTTGCATGTCAAAGTCGATGTCTACACATCTTAGTGAATATGATTTGCATGTCAAAGTCAATGTCTACACATCTTTATGAATATGTTCTGCATGTCAAAGTCTATGTCTACATGTCTTGGTGAATATATGTTTTGCATGTCAAAGTCAATGTCTACACATCCTAGTGAATATGTTTTGCATGTCAAAGTCGATGTCTACACATCCTAGTGAGCATGTTTTGCATGTCAAAGTCGATGTTTACACATCCTAGTGAACATGTTTTGCATGTCAAAGATGATGGCACCGATGCATCATGAGTCTTCATGCGACGATACAACATAGGATATGGTTTTTTTCTGTATCGATACAAGACCTTTTGCCAGTCAAATATAGCAAAATGTGTTGCAATTTGCTTTTCAAGTTAACAACGAAAAATAGCCATTATGAACACGTGTCTACAGCTAGCTTTTCCTTCGGAACCTCCCCTTAAATATTTAGTCAAGAAACGTCCAAGTGATTTGACATAAATGTGTCGTGACCTATGTATCGTGATACGCATCGTATCCTGACCTTGTATCATTTCACCCCTTATGTAAATCTAGTGTTGTTATCCCCACAACTGCTCACAGCCAGTAGATACTACTGCGTGTGCTGGACAAGTCATCAAAGTGCAGAACACACCACAAATAACAGCCTCCAGCCTCCAGCCACAAGTCTTCTCCACCACTATCCCTCCTGGAAACTCCCTCCATAGTGACTAATACCTCAGAAAATTGCTCTTGTCTATAAATAAGCCCTAACCTAGTGAATTCCTGTGGATAGTGCTGGATCAAGGAAGAAATCACCGCATTACTTTGCCATGATGAAACTTCAAAAATGGACTGGTAAACAAGCTGGTAATTAAATACCATTAGTTGGGAGATGGAAGAATCGCCTACCCGTTACACTCTTATGACACGAGTGAAAACCATCAGTGTCTGTCTAAAAGCTCTCACTACCAATATAGTAAATCCATGAACATCAAAAGGAACAAATTGTCTAATAGCATCTATTTCAGGTTTGGTTCTTTATCAGAACTGATATTGATGATATTATGGATATAATTAGGATAACAGCAGTATGCGACCTGTTCAATGCCCATATAAAGGATGCTTTAAAAATATGAAACTGCCTCCCTCCATGATACGTCTCTCTCAAGGAAAATCCTAAAAATAAATTTCTTTCCCAATAAAACATGAGATTAAAATACATGAATCCATCTTTCCTGCAGAATCAGGGTTCAAATGTGCAGTGGAAGAGCGTGTAAATCATTAATGTTATAATTTCAAAGCCTCCTCTTTATTGACGTTTTAGCAAAAGGTCTAATTGTATTACCTTGGGGAGTGAGTGAGTGAGTGAGTGAGTGAGTGAGTGAGTGAGTGAGTGAGTGAGTGAGTGAGTGAGTGAGTGAGTGAGTGAGTGAGTGAGTGAGTGAGTGGGTGAGTTTGTGTTTACATCACTTTTAACAATATTCCACCAATATCACTGTGGGTGACACCAGGAATGGCTTCTCACATTGTACGTACAGAGCGCCAGATAAGCTTTTGGTGTTGTGGGTATTTTACCCATGCATTTTAAAATCATTGGGTATCAGTAATTCTATCTGGGTATTCAAATTTCTGTTACCCACTAGTTTTTACACATGTGGGTATTTAAGTTAAATATTTAAAAACACTATTCATCTAGTCCCTGCAAACTGGTGTCGTGTGGGTTCGAGAGCTTTATAGGACTCAAAAATACCATGATACTTCCACAAGAAAGTGTGATGGCAAATGATCGTGATGTAACCGTCATCATGGAGTTTGGCAAGGTTGACGGAATGCCCGTTTATAATTTCAAAATAAGTTGCTGATTTGCTAATCGAATACGCAGGGTTACTTCACAATATTTTGATGATATGCACAAGTTTAATTTTTGTAGCTTATCTGTAATGTATGTTGCGTATTTGATACGCTTGGATTTTATTTTACTGCGTATTTCTGCTTTTCTGATGCATATCTTACGCAGATACGCAGCTTATCTGGAGCTCTGTACCTATGTAGGGATTCAAACCAGGGTCTTTGGCATGTACTTGGTACAAAAGGACAATTGAAGAAAGACATAGTTCATTTCTACTTCACTACATATCCCAACACCTTTCCATCACAATCAAGCCAATTTATCCAAAGACGAAACTTGGTAATAATAAGAGTATTCATTTAAAAAATTGCAAGTGGCATTTGGGCAGTCATATTGAAATTTCAGTATTAACCTTCTAAAGTGAGTAAGTGTGGTTTTTCACCATATTCCAGCAATATCACAGCAGGGGACTCAAGATATGGGCTTCACACATTGTACCCATGTGGGGAATCAAACCCAGGCCTTCGGCGTGACAAGCGAATGCTTTAACCACTAGGCTACCTCACCGCCCCAGTCTTCTTAAGACACATGCAAGAAGTTGACATGTATCAGCAAAGACACTAATATGTAAATAGGTTATGGGAGCCTACAAGCTCAGACTATTGACAAAGATTCCTCAGACAATGGATAACATAACATAAGCAATATTAACCATATTGACATAAGCTCGGGCATGTGATGGACAATGCGCTTGATATAACCTGATCCTTGCTTTTTTAGACAAGGGGGATAAACAGAACATGTTAAAATGGCTCATACACTGTTGCATGAACATTTCTAATACAGAAAAATAACCTGAAAAGAAATTAATGCCTTCACAAACTGTGATAGGCCTGAAACATGTTATAAAGGAGGCCATCAAGCTGTACTCAAAGACTGGAAGACCTTAGTATCACATGACCTAAATACATCACAATGGCATTCCTTCCTGCTCAGACACCGGTGCCAAAACTTCCAGTTATGATATGTGTAGAAAAACACAGTGGCGTTAAAATTAGCATAATTATGTCAGCCTCATTTGGGAAATAAGCCACACTTGGAATGAGCGTGTACTGGCAACCTTTAAGAGCAGGATATGTACAGGGAAGTAACATGGACACGTAATGATTGTATTTTGTTTGTTGTTGGATGCCACACTCAGCAATATTCCAGCTTTTTGACGACTGTCTGTAAATATTTGAAGCTTGACCAGACAATCCAGTGATTGACATCATGAGCATCCATCTACACAATTGGGACTTGGTGCTATGCATCAACCAAGTCAACGAGCCTGACCACTCAATCCCCTTAGTAGCCTCTTATAACAAGCATGGGCTGCTGAAGACCAGTCTGAACCTGTATCTTCACGGGGAGGCAGGTAATGATATGTGTATATTTCATAACCTCCTGTCGACCCGTGAAGATTCCGAGGTAGAATAGGTCTTCAGCAACCCACACTTGCCGTAAATGGCGACTATGCTTGTCGTAAGAGGCGACTATCGGGATCGGGCGGTCAGGCTCGCTGACTTGGTTGATGCATGTCATCGATCCAAATTGCATGGATCGATGCTCATGATATTAATCAATGGATTGTCTAGACTAGACTCGATTATTCACAGACCGCCGTCATATAGCTGGCATATAGCTGAGCGCGGCGTTAAACAACAAACCAACCAACCAAACAAGCAACTACTATGTGAACACATTTCGTTCTACCAAACGTCTCTGCATCAAACACTGGTGACAGAAACCCAGGAAATGGTTGGTACTTGTTGAGTGACAGCATATAAGAGAAACATTATCATTAATTTAAGATTCCTAAATCCCTGAAATGAAATGAAAGCTGTGACTATTCAGAGTTGACATCTCAAGGAATGAAATAGATTATGTGCCGAATTTAAACTCAAAAGTAATCATGTAAGGAATCTTTCAGACATGTCAAATTTCAAATGAATTCATCTTCTATTACAAAACTTAACAAAGAAAATTAAATTTCCCTCTAATTGTTTCATTGTTGGATATATCTGCTAATGATTACCTAAAGAAAGAAAGAAGTGAGTGAGTTTGGTGAGCGCTGTTTTGAACAGTATTCCAGTTATATCAATGCGCTCAATGTGGGTAGAAAGCCCCAAATGATGCAGATATGGGAAGTTTATCACTTTGGTGAAACCCACAGCATTGATATGATCGTGACCAACCTAAAAACATATTCGGTACAAACCAGGATTCGAACTTTTGATCATAGATTGTAGCCACTCTGCATAACAAATTGTGGCGCCTTAGACAACAGGCCCACCTGTGTTCCCAGGTGCTAAATGCACTCAGGTGGTAAGATTTGGTTACATGGTTGATTGCATGTCATCATGCCCTGACTGTGTAGCTCATCACTGCTCATAACACCAATCACTGGTTTGTCTGGTCCACACATGATTAATTACAGGCTACTTTCACGTAGCTGGAATAGTGTTCAATTCAGCATCAACCAACACAAAAGAAACAATAGGAAAACATGATCAAGCCAAAATGTACAAGCTTAAGTCATACCTGTCACTCAATTCCAGGGGCGGTCGGGTAGCCTGGTGGTCAAAGTGTTCGCTCGTCATGCCGAAGACCTGGGTTTCGATTCTCGACATGGGTACAATGTGAGAAGCCACTTTCTGGTGTCCCCCGCCATGATATTGCTGGAATATTGCTAGAAGCGGCGTAAAACCATACTCACTCACTCACTTAATTCCAAATAAAAAATAGTTGTATCGACAGGCAAAAATTGTCAAGGAAATCACAACCAAAATTGATTTTCAATTTTCAACCTGAGGAATTGGACACATCTGTCAAAATTTTGAGGCACATAATCTAATTCACCAAAGCCTGGAGACAAGAAGAGGACACTGTGGAGACCTACCTTTATGAATGAAGGTTCTCTGTCTGGGGACTCTGAGCTGGGAAGCCTATCCTTCCATACTGAGGGCATACTTATAGCTAATCCACTGTTATCTCCTATAGGTGCAAAGTCTGGAACCAAGGAGGCTGCCTTCTCATCAGTTGTTATACTGTACTTCCGTATCACATCCTTATCCTTGTCCTTATCCTTGGAACCATGGCCCTTCCTTTGTAACACACTGGCTGAGCTTGCACTTCGGAGAATGGGTTTCTTGGGGGCAGGGACACTGAGGAGATGGTCTGTACACTCCAGGGAAGGAACTGGAGAGTGGCGATGAGGAGTGGAGGGAGCTGAGGAGAACACTGTCGCATGTTTGCGGGAGTCGGGACTAAGTAAATTGTTTGCATCATCAGTTGTCTCCTCATCCTCATCCGTCGACTGCTCCACTATACTCTCCTCAATGTTGCTTCCCGAGGAGAGAATGTTCTCTGAGCGGGACTTGGGTTTCGTCCCTTCCTCCGATATCCGGAAGTCATCATCAAGACTTCCTTCTCGGTCCTCCTTGGACAAGAGAGGAGCACTCTGAGACTGGTTGGAGTCCATGACTTGGGAAAAGTCAGACATCTCCCTTGTCTTACTGCCACTAGGGTCACTTTTGGATTTCTGTTTTAGAGATTTACCATTTTTCCGATCACCAGGATCGTTACTCTCTCCTACAACACTTTCCATAACATCTTGGTAGGTGGGATCATCCCCTGCCTCACTGGCACAGAGCTGACTGTCAGCCAGAGACAGCTGGCTGTGTTTCTGGTCATCCTCACTCTCTCCCGAGGAGGACTTTAAAGCTCCAAAACCATTACTATCCACGGAACCTTCTTCCCGGAATGTAGCTTTCCTATGAGGGGGATGTGTGATAAAACGAACAGGAGACACTTTCTGACCAGCACCGCCCTGGTTGGGTTCACGGCGCTGGGATCGTTTGTTAGACTGGTCGTCACTTCTACCTGCTTCCTCTCTTCCATACATTTGCTGAACACGACCTAATGTTGCCAAAGTTGTGATGCCAGTCCGTCTTTTAGGACATGGGGCAGTGGCAGCTAACTTCAGAAAAGGGGAGTTACGACCAATAGGATGATAAGTGAAAGTACTAACTTGAGGGCTGGAGCTCTCCCCATCGCCCACACCTTCATCATCTCCAGATTTTTCAATATTCAGTCGAACAAACGTTCGACTCGTCTTAATATCATCGCCTCGTTGATCGTCACTTTCTGGTGTTCTCTCACGTAGACCTATGAGGTCTGGGCTATCTGCACTGCCTGCACTCTCCGCTAGATCTTCTCTCACCAACACATCTGGCCCATCAGTGCTGCTCTCTCCTGTCAGGGCCTCCATCTCAAGGTCCACGGAATCCTGAGACTGAACCATTGCTGCAGACTCCAGAACTTGTCTCTCTGTAGGATCTGATCCTGCATGTGTTGGGTATTCCTCCTGAGGTGTTTCTTGTGCTGTGTCTAATTCAGTCTGATCATAATAATCAGCTTCAGTGCCGTAAGCATCAGCTTCCGACTCCATGGGACTTGTAGGTTTTGCTCTGTCTGGGAGTGCATCAGATGTCTCTGGAATGTTAGCACTTCTGGGTTCCGTGCTATACTTTCCACCACTTTTGAGTTTATCAGTTAGCTGTTTCAAACTGCGACTTCGATTCCTTGAAAAGGCAGATCGCGGTTCATCCACCGCGGGAGAACCCACGACAGGAGACGCAGAAGGAGACGTGTTTGTTGACTGGGACTTTCCTGGTGCATGAGACCTCAATCCATGCATTCGACCATAGGTTTTTGGGAAATCGACTTTGTTGAGGTTCATGATATCTTCCATTATCGACTTAATGTCACCTCTGCCGGGGTCAGTCTTTGACCTTGGACTTGTGGACCGGCTGCCGGTAAACGATGGCAGCTTTGGTCGCGTGATTTTCGGTGAAAACGAACTTGACTTTGGTATAGATAACTTAGGCTGATCCTCCTCAATTTTTTCGTCCATCGTATGTCGATTTTATAAGTCATGGGAAAGCCGCAAGACAATATTGGGTCTACAACCAGGGAAAACAGATACCATGGTAGAGAGATCAACAGAACGAAAAATCAGAATTTTGACTGAAGAAAGGGTTCAGAAATCTGGTTTGAGAGGGACAGGATCCAATAGGTTATCAGAAACACACAGAAGCCAACTGTGTCCTTTCACATTTTGGTAGAGTGTTCCACAGGAAGGGATAGAAATGTTTCCACCACAATACTGACTTGCTTGTCATCTTAGCAGGAACATTACACGAGTCGCCAACACTTGAAACCATTCTTCTCTCTCATGATCTGAAACAAACAAACTGTAAATGAATGATCCATTACATGTGAGTGAGTCGGGTTTAACGCTGCTTTGAGCAGTGTTTTAGTTATATCACAGGGTGTCAGCTTAATCATGTTAATGTGGGAGGAAAGCCTGAAGTGATGCAGGTCTCAGACGTTTACCACTTCGGCGAAACCCACAAGCACGGGTATCGTGCTGACAAACCAAGAATCATAATCAAGGCAACCAGGATTCAAATGCATAATCGTAGGTATCTAGCATGCCCAAGGGATGCAACTCTGCACAGCGAATTGTGGCACCTTAGACGACTGAGCTACCCAATATGAGCGACTGATATGGAGTTTAATGTCAAATTATACAGTGTTCCAGTAATATCACTGAACATCAGATAAAGTAGAAGATTTAAGTTTGACTTCATGCTGATTTGAACAGTATTTCAGTTGAACACGTTAGTTTCAGCGTGTCTGCATTATGTTGGAGAAAAGCCCGAAATGATGCAGGTCTTAGATGTTTATGATTTTGGAAAATAACCCATCGGTATGGTTTTGGAAAAAACTGGAAACATAATCAGGGTGAATTGGGAATCGAACCATGATGTACTTTTGTGTTCTGAAGATGCTGTACTTTTAAAATATAATGAAAAGTCAAAATGTGATTTTTCACCCATAATGTCCCCTATCTCAAGGTTGGTCACATATATGTCATGTTCTAGTAAAAAACATAATGTGCACTTTTCTTGGAGACTATATTTAAATGAAAAGAAAGAAAACATTTCGTTACTTTTAGTTATTAAAACAATAAATAATTGAGCACTTTTTTATGTTATAATAAATAATTGAACTAAACAAATGAAGCTCTTAAAAACATTGCAGATCTCAATCTCTCACCACCACCAAATAAAATTGTTGGTCACTTATGGCAATTAGAACAAAGCAAGTATAATATTTTGGCCAGACAATGATAAATCTTATCTTATCTTAACTGGAAACATAATCAGGGTGAATTGGGAATCGAACCATGATGTTAGGTTTCTGGCATGACAAAGGGACATAACTCTGCTCAGCAAGTTGCAGCACCATTGCGCACTGGGCCACATATAAATGTAGGAGAAACGCTCAAAGAGAGGCAGGTCATACAAGCTCTACAGTGTACCTCAGGTGCATACGTGTACTGCACTGACAAACCAAGACTATTAAAGCAGTGAATCTGTGCTTTAGTCCCAGAACAAGCTTCCAGACAGCTAGGAGACAAAATTACGCACAGTAAATATGTGAGCTTCAGACAGTGGGTCACCCATGCCTCATGTTGACTACAGCAAAACTGACATCTTAACAAATTTAGGTTTTACATTTATTTTGATTGGCATACAGTCTGCCAACCATAAATATAAAAAATTCAGTAAAAAATGAAATCGAAATGATAATGCTCTTTTAATACCGCTGACAGTAAAAATCGCTTTGACAATAAAAATGACAGTGAAATGCCGCTGTCATGTGTTAAATTTAAAATATCTATAAACACCCCAACCAGGCCAAGACTTCTTAATATTTTTTATCACCTTCCAAATCAAATCAAACATTAAGGTGATTAAAAAAATCCTGTATGCCCATTTAAAAAAACAATATTCGACCTAACGACCAAATTTTTCACTATCAAAATCCATAACACCCCTCCCCAACCAGTCTGGCCTTACTGTAATGATCACACCTACACTACCAGACTAACTGGTCATCAGTACAATGGTTAATGTCAGAACAAACCTTACTCGTAAGAATCAGAGACATTTACCTTGGCAGGCCACTCCTGCACAACATGAAGCAAACATTGCTGGGTTTAGCACCAGATCTCTGTAATCAGGGATGTCAGGACACACTGGTCGTCAGAAGAGTCAGGCTGATACCAGTTAACATGTCACCCTTACATAATCTGGGATTTCTCTACACCTGCTCAAAGGCCCAAATTCTGAAGCAGTTGTCAGTAACAATTCCAGAATTGGAATGAAAGAAATTGCCAAGTCTTGTTATTATAGAAATAATTAATGAGATGGCTTTGCAGAAGTGACTTGCATTTGACAGACAACAGGATCAATACATAAGAATGCATTTATGAAATATTAAAATACCCCCAAATTTATGAAATAAGTCCCAAATATTTTGACCGAATTATGTTTTTGCTCCATTTGCTTGCACATAGTTTCAAATCCTACATAAATCACATATGTGACCCACCAGGGGGAAAGGGACCATATGGGTGCTTGGAGACAATTGTGCTATGACGTCATAAAGACGTCATCAGTGAAGATCCATATGTGTGATGTCATGTATCTCTGTAATAAATATGAATTGAAGCCTGTGATTTGTACTTTTGTGTTCTGAAGATGCTGTACTTTTAAAATATAATGAAAAGTCAAAATGTGATTTTTCTCTCATAATGTCCCTTATCTCAAGGTTGGTCACGTATATGTCATGTTCTAGTAAAAAACATAATGTGCACTTTTCGTGGAGACTATATCTAAATGAAAAGAAAAAAAACATTTCGTTACTTTTAGTTATTAAAACAATAAGTAATTGAGCACTTTTTTATGTTATAATAAATAATTGAACTCCTAAACAAATTAAGCTCTTAAAAAAATTGCAGATCTCAATCCCTCACCACCACCAAATAAAATGGTTGTTCACTAATGGCAATTAGAACAAATGAAGTATAATATTTTGGCCAGACAATGATAAATCTTATCTTTGAACAACATAGTTTATCTGGTATGAAACGGTCACCTGTTATACTACATGAGTGGGTGGGTTTTCTCAGCCGTTTCATGACAAATGACTGCTTCTCAGTGAGAAATATTACAGCACTGACAGCTAGAGCTTCAAAGATACAATGCGAACTTAACATTCAAGTATCTGGACAAACAATGACGTTTATTTTTCACTTGGGTTATCTTTCAAGGGCAGATAACTGCAGAAAGAAAACAAATAATTGACATGTCCTATTTTCATCATATGTTTTGAAACATATATCGGATATCTTATCTCTAAAGCCTTCTTGGCACTCCTTAACATGATAAGGAATCAGATGAAGATTTGATATCCTAAAACATGTACTAAAATCTACTTAAAACAACTTGTCAGGTGGACATATTGATATCCGTGAAACCCTCTACCCAAACACTTTCACAAAATAGAGAGAGACAAGAGACAGAGAGGGTGAGACTAAGAGAGAGAGACAGACAGAGACAGTGAGACAGAGTGAGACAGAGAGTGAGAGAGAGACAGAGTGAGAGTGAGAGACAGAGACAGAGAGACAGAGAGACAGAGAGAATGAGAGAGAAAAGACACACAGAGGGTAAGTGGAGTAGAATTATATAAGCTGCTTAAGTGACATTCTAACAGTGAAGACATCAACAAGGGGCTTCACATATTGTACCAATTGGAGGAATTACACCTGTGTTGGCATAACGAGTGAATGCTTTAATCCCTAGAGACACCCCATCCCTTGAGTGAGTACAGATACTCATTGTTCAGTGTCTGAAATATTCACCCAGACCTCATGTTGTAACTACCTAAACCTCCTTTGTCAGCTCATGGGATACTTGGGACCTATTCTGTCTATACTGGGGACCTATTCTGCCTATACTTGGGGCCTATTCTGTCTATACTGGGGACCTATTCTAACTATACTGGGGACATATTGTCTATACTGGGGACATATTCTGCCTATACTGGGGACATATTCTGTCTATACTGGGGACCTATTCTGCCTATACTGGGGACCTATTCTGTCTATACTGGGGACCTATTCTGTCTATACTGGGGACCTATTCCCCCTATACTCCTGACCTATTCCATCTTTACTTGGGACCTACTCTATTCAGCACATGACAGATTTACTATAGTAATAAGAAAGAATGGGTGTTCTTTAACTTCTTTTCGGTAGTGTATGTGACAAAATACGGTTGTCTTTATGACTATAATGAACAGTCACGAACACTGTGACAAGGGCAGACAAGTAAAAAGAAGTCAGGTCATGGAGCAGGAGATGGCTTGGTCAAGTGTTTTGCAAAGCTCAAGACAATATGGGCGACTAGCTTTTGTGCTAGCATGCAAATCTACATGGGTTGCACTTCATTACCTGTCAAACTATACAATGGGAAGGGCTGTCAATATCAATGGTTTAACCAGAGTAAAGCAATCAAACTTCACCAAAGGCATACATAATGACACTTTCTGCATATCAGCATGATCACGTTACACACTAATGTATGCTTAAATGTCGGAATAATCTTGGTGATGGATCAAAAAGACATTTTCAATATGGCTGTCAAAGCGGCCATGTTTGGAATGGGATTAGAATTATGTGAGCAACAAAGCTTTGAACATGTTCAAGTCAGATCACCTGTGTGTACAAACAGAAGCTTTGTTTCTTTTACAGTGGATGTAACACTATGATCCATGACAAAAGCTAACACAACACTATGGTTCCGGTGAGACAAAACTGGTATCTCAAATTCTGCATTATAAGTAGTACAAAACTGGAAAATACACAGCACTTGAACACTGAATATACCGGGTCAGTCTATCCTAACTATTCCTTGATGACAAGTACTGAAGGTCCATCCAGATATGTACCTGTACCAGGTGTTGTCAGACAGATATGTATGTACCTGTACCAGGTGTTGTCAGACAGATATGTATGTACCTGTACCAGGTGTTGTCAGATAGATATGTATTAAATGCACCAGGTGTTGCCAGACAGATACATATGTACCTGTACCAGGTGTGTTGTCAGACAATATGTATGTACCTGTGCCAGGTGTTGTTGTCAGACATGTTTGTACCTGTACCAGGTGTTGTCAGACAATCTGTATGTACCTGTACCAGGTGTTGTCAGACAATATGTATGTACCTGTGCCAGGTGTTGTTGTCAGACATGTTTGTACCTGTACCAGGTGTTGTCAGACAATCTGTATGTACCTGTACCAGGTGTTGTCAGACAATCTGTATGT